TTTTTTTTTTTCTTCTTCTCCGTATGTGTGTACTATGCTTGGCTTCTTGGAACTGTTATATAGGTCCGTATGGTTGAAGATGATCTCATGTACAGCACCTTCCTGGAGGTATATGAGAACCACTGTGCAAGAAATGACCGAGAAGCAGACCTGCCGATTACTTACTTCAAAGAGCAACTGAACCAGGCCATTTGCGGTCAGATATCTCCCGAGGCTGTGGTGGATCTTCGCTTGCAGGCATACAATGATATCACGAAAAACATTGTGACAGAGAGCATTTTCTCACAGTTCATGTACAAGACCTTGTTGAACGGAAACCACACATGGGCCTTCAAGAAGCAATTCGCCGTCCAGCTGGCGCTCTCTAGCTTCATGTCCTTCATGCTGCAAATTGGGGGAAGGTCCCCCAACAAGATCCTGTTCGCCAAGAACACAGGAAGAATATTCCAGACTGACTTCCATCCCACTTACGATTCGAATGGGATGATTGAGTTTAATGAGCCCGTGCCTTTCCGGCTGACGAGGAACCTACAGGCATTTTTCTCTCACTTTGGTGTGGAGGGTCTGATTGTCTCGGCAATGTGTGCAGCCGCACAGGCTGTGGTTGCACCCAAGGTCAGTCAAAACACATTATTGACACGTTGGCCTTGTCTGTTTTTTCTTTCCACCCGACTGCACATTTCCATTTTCCACCTATTCATTAAAATAAAAAATCTTGCTTATTTTTTTTTGTTTGTTTTATTGGAAACGATCATTTCCAATTTTTCATTTTTCGCATTAGAATATCTCTTGTAAATCATGTTCGACACATGTATCTACTTAAAAATTGAACTAGTTTTGTGTTTTATATTCAAATTAAAATAACAAAATATCCCACGTCTAGAATTTTTATTACATAAGTGTAGTTTCATTTTTCGTTTGAACACCGTAAATTATCAAGACCCTGGTAATTTGACATGAAAAAATTAAAAAAAATAAAAACCATGCAAGCCCATTATTTTTCACAACTGGCCAGAAGTAAAAAACATTAGTGGAATTTCCCTTTTTGCAGCAAAGTCATCATCTGTGGCATCATCTGGCCATGTTCTTTCGTGATGAGCTAATATCTTGGTCATGGAGAAGGCCACCCGGGATGCCTCTGGCCCCCATAGGAGGCTGTATTTTGAACAATGCGGACCTCAAACAGAAAGTGAACACAAATGTCGAGCAAGTCATTGGCCGCATCAGTGGGATAGCTCCACAGTACATTTCTGAAGAGGTACGTGCAGGCAGACCTTCAGTTTTTATTTTCTGTAAAATCTGTAATATTGATATAAGGGCATTCGATCCATTTTTTTTCACGATTGACCCGAGTATGGTGCTGTTTTTGTAGGAGGAAAATGGTGTGGACCCACCACAGTCGGTGCAGAAGGGTGTTGCGGAGCTGGTGGAGGCTGCTCTCACCCCCAGAAACTTGTGCATGATGGATCCTACGTGGCACCCTTGGTTTTAGTTTAGTGTATTACATACAGCTACAATATATGTATAGTCAGTGGTCACCAATGAGCATGCAATCTGTGGGTAAAGTGGTTTGTGTGCATCAAATCAAATCTGCAACTGGGACTGTCTTTTGGCAGCTTTTGTGATCTTACAAGGTTTTGGAAAACAAAGGTGCATGTACATATGTGCAGTGCTATTATTATTATTATTATTATTATTATTATTATTATTATTATTATTATTATTATTATTATTTTATGTTTTTGGCATCCGTCTTTGTGACCTTCCTTCTACCTACAACCATAATGCTTAGCCCCAACCCAATAATAAAAAATTATTTCTCTCTTTCACGTACACAACACAACTTTTAACAACCTACATATCTTTATCCCTAACTCAACCCAATTCAACCCAACATACTATTTCTTTTATTTTTATTTATTAAATATTATATACAATAGATTATTTGTTATTGTTTTAATTGTGATACATTAATTAAAAAATTTATATTTAAAAATAATGATTTTAAAAAATTAATATTTTAAAATACAACTAAAAAAAAGATTACAAACATAATTAAAAATTGAAATTACATAATTCGGTATGAAATAAACTGAACAAGTTAAAAACATTTCAAATGAAATTATACATCAACTACCATTGCCAAATTTTTCCCATATGTGCTCAATCTAGTCATTTTTCAAAGTCACGTGAGCTTCTCTATTACGAAGTTGGGACCTATTGGTCATATACGTAGATAGGTTTGTGACTCTTTCAGTCGAGTATTGAAAAGACATATCATCGTCCTCTTCTTCTACTCCATTTCTTCTGTTCCTTCGTTGTTGCCTTCGTCCGTTTGTAGGCCTATCGTTCATAAATTCTGTAGGATCATAATAATTCAAGTAGGCGTCCCGTTCATCTTCTACTATCATATTGTGCATGATGATGCAAGCCATCATAATTCTTCCCATAAAAAAAGATCCCATACTAGACATGGTCGTTTGATAAATGCAAAACGAGCTTGTAAAACACCAAATGCGCGCTCAACATCTTTTTTAGCCGCCTCTTGGTGTTCAGCAAACAACTTGTGCTTTCGAAGTGATTTAACAAATGCAGCCCATGAAGGATATATACCATCAGTGAGGTAATATCCCATATTTCTTTGTTGACCATTCACAACGTAGCTAATTTCGGGTGCACGACCTTCCAAAATATCATCAAAAACAGGAGATTGGTGAAGTACATTGATATCGTTGCACGAACCTGGTGTTCCAAAAAATGCATGCCATATCCATAAGTCATATGATGCAACAGCTTCCAAAATAATTGTTAGTTTTCCACTTCTTCCAGCATATTGCCCAGCCCATGTTGTAGGATAATTTTTCCATCCCCAATGCATGCACTCAATACTTCCCATCATTCCTGGGAATCCACGTTGCTCTCCCGCATGAAGTATTCTTGCCAAATCTTGTTCATTAGGCCTTCTGAGGTATTGGCCGTCGAAGTTAGAAATGACGCCTTCTACAAATTTAATTTCATGAGATTCCCTCGTCTATTGTATATAATATTTAATAAAAATAAAAGAAATAGTATGTTGGGTTGGATTAGGTTGAGTTAGGGATAAAGATATGTAGGTTGTTAAAAGTTGTGTTGTGTATGTGAAAGAGAGAAATAATTTTTTATTATTGGGTTGGGCTAAGCATTATGGTTGTAGGTAGAAGGAAGGTCACAAAGACGGATGCCAAAAACATAAAATAA